GGGGCTCCGGGGGTCCAGGAGGGCGACTTGCCCCCCCTTCACTTTAAAAGTCGGACACACGGAGCTTCTGAGCCCTGCAAGGCAAGGTCAGGGTCAGCCGGGAAGCAGAGGTGGAGGGCTGCTCCCTGCTCAGGCTCCTCCGGGGGACCAGGGCAGGCTGGGCGGCAGCTCCGTGGTGGGCAGGTAAGGGCCACCCTGCTCCTGCCAGGGGTCTCAAGGTGCCGTGAGCTGGACCAGGGGCTCTTCGTGAGGCTGGCGTGGGTCTGATGGGGAGCGGCTACTCTTACTATATGAGGAGCTCCCCTTTCGGATCCCCTCTTCCGTACTCCCCCCTCCCTCCCTTCCATCTTCCTCTCCTCTCCTCCTTCTCTTCCATCTTTTCTCCCTCCCTTATGTGAGCCACGTGGGGTCCTGGGAAGAGCCCTGGACTTGAAGCTCAAGGCAAGGACCTGAGTCCCAGCTCTGTCAGCACGTCTGGGGGACTTGGGCAAGCCCTTCCGCCCCTCCACCCCGCTCACTTGTCTCCGTCCTGCAGCAGGGTGTGCTGGACCTGGGCCCAGGACCTCTCTTGCCAGGACATTCTGGATTCCAGCCCAGGAGGAGTGGGGGTCTCCGCCTGGGCAGCCAGAGAGGCTCGGTGCCCGGGTGGGTGGGGTGAGGGAGGGGACCCAGGCCACACCCTGGGTGGGCACAGAGGTGACATCTGCAGGTGGTCAGCAGGTGAGGAGGGCGGGGCCGCAGGGGCACTCACCGTGGGTGCTGGCTTCCCCCCGGACACGATGCAGACCAGCGTGAAGTTCTGAGCCTGGTAGCGGCTGAAGGGGGCAGGAGTGTCAGCGGCCACCACTTCAATGGAGGTGGGAGGAGCTGCCACAAGGAGACAGAAGGGGGCTCGCTGGGGGCTGGTGGGGGTCCCGGGCTGGGGCTGGGGAGGCAGTGTCCCCGGCCTCCAAGGGCACCCACCAGGGGAGCTCGGGGTCCCTGTCTGGGAGCACAGACCCAGGCCGGCAGCCAAGACACCAGGAATCCAGAGGCCACCACCGTAAGTGCGTCAGGTCCCCAGGGGGTCACAGTGTGGAAAGGGGACCCTGGAGCTCTGCTGGAGAAGCCACCCTGTGCTGCGATCTGAGGAGGCAGCAGGGGGCTGAGGATAGCAGGACCAGGGCACTGCAGGCCACAGGGGCCAGCTCAAGTGTGGGCAGTCAGGCCCCACCGTGGAGCTGGCTGTGCCTTTCCCAGCTGTTAAGGACCCCCTGGGGCAGTGGTGGGCAGAGGCAGGTGACTGGCGCCTCTGGAGCGGGGAGCTTCCCTCCCTTGCTTTCTTGAACTTGGTCACCGTGACCGCAGCCTCCCACCAACTCACCCCCTGCTCTCCTCTGGCAAAGCCTGGGCCTGGGCGCTGTGGGGTTTGTGACGGGCACCCGCTGCCTCAGGCCCTCCTGGTGCAAATCCCAGCCGGGTCCCGACCACCCCACGTCCTTGGCCCGTCACCAAAGCCGGGGCCTCCGCCTCGGGTCCATGAGGTGGCATCGTGGCAGGCAGGCAGCCTGGAGC